TGCGGGTTCGAGACCCGCTCACTCCTCTCCGCTGGCTCCCTCTTCTTGTCTTTGCCTCGCTCCTCAGGGAGCTCCTCTGATCATCGCACCTACCTGGGGAGTTACCCAAGATAAACGGCGCCTGACTTGAGCCATTTCAGAGCCAGGCTTGTCTTGAATTAGCCTGAATGAGCATCCCACCCTTCCCTTCCCAGGGGATGTTCTCTGCTCGAGGTGGGGTTGGGAATGGTGTGGGGGGCAGCCTTCCCTCCCCTGAGCCCTTCTCCTCACCCAGGCACTTGGAAAAGCACGACCACTGGGTTCTATATGTTGATGGAGCCTTCCACGACCACCTTTCATCTCTTTGCCTCTGTCCCCTATGTCTTCACATTAGAGCAACTCAAGAGAAATCCAGGATCTCTGCTGGACACCCCAGAGGGAAGGTCCAGGGAAACTCAGCCCTCTTGTCCATCAAGTTACTTCCTTGGCCACTTGGAAAATGTGGATAGTTCTTGGCGATGTGATTCCTCCCACATAAGAGGAGGGAAAAGTCACCAGCAACCACCAAGGTCTCTGGGAGCTGACCCATCACTCCACCACCTCTGTGACCACCATGTGTCCCCTTGGGACCAGCACTTACAGCATCACCCATAAATTACTGCTGATTTCCCACATCCTCGTGTGAAAAACAGAAGCCAGAAGCTCTTCCCACATGACACCACAGCCAGGTGAGGGGCTCAGATGGGACCAAGGTCAACCCTCCACAACAACCACTGTGGGTTTGTGGAGATAGGTCTTGATAAGCTGTCTTGGTGTCTTTTCCATGAGATCTCCAACTCAGCTAACAAAGAGCTCCATCAAGGGACCTCCATCAAGGATGGTCACCTTAAAACCACAGTATCAAAACTGGATGATGCTCAGTAAGTCTATTGAAAAATAAGTCTTAAAATACAATGTCAAAGAGGGAATCCACGATGCAAGAGACTCTAGAGGGAGAAAACTCAGGAGAAAACACAACTCAGTGCTGAAGCTTGTGAGGATGTCAAGGCCATGCACCTACAGAAGAAAACGTGGGTAACAGTGTCTTTGGGGGGGCAACACTGCAGGGCCCAGAGGCTCATCTGCTCCTCAGAGAAACCATCACAAATGCTGCCTCCACTTGCAGCAACCACAGCTGGTGGAAACACTGGAGCTAAGAGAAAGAATATCCATCATCTGCTCTCCAGCAGGAGATTCCAGGACCTGCTCCACACAACATAATTGAAGGGGGACATCATGGGGGAATTAAACCCAAAAATGTGGTCTTTAAAAGGCTTCCAGTCAGCAGCTAAGGAACAGCAAGATACATAAACTGGAAAGCTGAAACTCTATACATGCAGCTTCTAAGAGAAACATCCTGGGACATAATTAGCCACTGGAACAGCTTTCCAAGAGGTTGTAATGGATTTGCCAGTGTTCACTTTGGTGAACTGCCCTGCAGGAGGAACAACTGGCTGATCACAGTAGATAATGTAAATACATTGGGCTGAGAAAGTGCTGCTGAGCCTGGACTCAGGAGTAAAAAAAAAACAGGGTGAATTTGGGTGCCTGCAGCCAGATGTGTAAACCTCAGCATTGCAGTGGGCAGGCTGAGCTCCCTGGAGCCACTGAGCTCCTGCCTCAGCCCCACAGGGCATGGGGATCAGCACAGGCTTCCTGAGCAGGAGAGGCAGCCCTTTGTGTCACCTGGGTCCAGTTTTCTCTTCCACATTGGGAATTTTCAACCTTCACCTCAAAGGAAAAAGCCCTCTGTTCTCTGCTATGCTCCTTTCACTCCTTCCTTCCCACTTTGCAAATGCCCAGCAGCAACACCCCTCACCAGCATGGACACTCAGTGTTCCCCACTGAGTCAGCTGGGGATGACACACCTTGCTGAAGATGCTACAGCCTTAAGTCATCTGCCCCCAAGTGTGTTAACTGATGTGCACTGCACACACATTTAACAAAACTCTTTATTTACATTTCAAAACATTAAAAAAAAAGATGCCAATAATTAAATCCTTTCAGAAGAATGTCAGGAGCACAGATCTGGAGAGGATGGGGGCAGCAGGAGGGAACTGAAGCTGGAGCTGCAGCTGCATGGAGCCAGAAACAGGCTGAACCCCAGGTGAAGAAGCACTGAAACAAAGAAGAAACAGGTCTGAAGAGCTGGAGAGCCACAGCAGCAGTGCATGGTGACACTGGGTGCTGTTGCAGCCACTTCAGGTGTGTGCTACACAACCTGGGAGTCCTCCCGGCCCTCCATGCTGGGCATCTGCACCTACCTCTGAACTTCAAGCTAACACTGCCTGTGTCTCCAGGCAGATTGAAAGGATCTTGACAAGTAACTAACTGATTTAGCTGCCTGAAGGTGGGCAAGACAAATGTCTACAGGCAGCTGGGAGGCAGCAGGGAGTGTAAAGGCAGTTCCTAAGACCTGGCTGGGAGGTACTCAAGATGGCACCAGCCTGGTACCTGGAAATGAAAAGCCTCAAGTTGGATGTTGGGCAGATTTCATGCACTCCAAACAGAAATGATCAACAAGTCTGGGCCTGAAGACAACCCTAAAGGGGACCCAACCCATCAGTACAGGTCTTCTCCTCTTGTCCCTTTCTCCAAAAGCCCTATAAAAGCCACCAGAAGTAGCAGGGAAATGAATGAAAGATGACACTCTATGTTGTCACTTCAAGTAGGAGGAGCTCCCAAGAGTCCAAAGTACTGCAGAGCTGAAAGGCTTTCTGATGGAAGCAGGGAGACATCTTCATGGGCAATTCCAGATGTCTATGGAAATCATTTCATGGAAGGCCAAAAATGGTGGGGATTTTCCTTTTGTGAGTGCCTGCCTGCCAAAATTTGAAAAATCAGCAACCAAAAGGCTAATACAGCAGATTTTTTACAAGCTGCAGCCTGTAGTGCAATGTAGAGATTGGCTGAAATGCTTGTGCTTTTCTAGAGAAGGGGGCAGACAAATGGAAAGAGAATATTGCACGTTGGCCTGAGCTCTGTCTCGAGCCTTGGTTGTTCAACCAACATCAGCCTTTCTCAGGCTTCATCTCTAAAGCTTCAGCACAGTAAGTGCTGAAAACATCTCCCTTCAGATGAGGACAGTGGTGTTTTTTTTTTTGAGGAGAGATAAAACTATGTAACATGAGAATTCCATGGTCCTTCAGTGGGAACAATCCCATGGTTGGACTGAGCAAGAAGAGCCAGGTCCTCTCTTTCTCCTCTTCTTTGCTCCATCCCTGCTTGCCCAACACACAGATGTTCTGCTTTCTCTGGCCATCTGAGTTCACCAACCTGCAGGTCAAAGCAAAGCCCCTACTCCCAGCCTGCCTGGGTAATTCCAGCTGAATTCCTGCCACAGCCCCCTTTTCATCCACTGGCTTCTCAAGGCTTCAAGGCAGCCTATCCCCACCCAAAGGAGAGGTCCCACAACCCCATCATCCCCTTGACTGCAGCTGCAAAAACTTATCCCTCCAGTGCTGCCCTTGGTCCTTGTGTGGCTCAGAGAGAAGTCAGTTCAGGGAGTTGAGCTGGCAGAAAACTAACACTGTTAGAGAGGCACTTTCTGGTGTTTCACTGAGCTGAGTCAACTCTCTGCAGACTTGAATGTGAAAATAAAAGTGAGGAGCAGAGCAGCCCACAGCTCAGTGGCACTGGGTGTCTGTGAAGACTGAGACTTACCACATCTCTTTGATGGCTCTACATTTCCCCACACTGAGAGATGACAACTGGCAGCTTGGGCTTGTTATTTGGACCTGTGGGCACATTCTGGGGACAAACAAATATATCATGGGAAACCTTGTAAAAGAACAGCAAAAGTACAGCAAACCCAGTGAGTGACAAGTACCTGAAGACTGGCAGTGAGTGACAAGTACCTGAAGACTGGATATGAGGGTTTGTGCAGCATCAGGAACAGGGAAATCTAGACACAGCTCTCACAGAGAAGCATTGTCATGCATTCTGGCAATGGCCCAGACTGTAAGTCAGTGAGGTCTCCATGTGCACAGAGGTTTGGGGTACAGACCAGACTCTGGTCCTTTGAATGGGAGGGTAGAAACAGAGCAAAAATTGGAGAGCTCCTCATGAGACACACCAGGCATCACGTCACGTGAGGCTGCTCTGGCTTGAACCTTTCAAGTTCCTAATTACAGCTGCAACCAGCAAAGCAAACTTGGATTTGCACAGAAGGAGAACCCAAATGAGAGGCAGTCACAAAGCAACCCTGAACCTCTCGTTCTGCTGGACTCAGCTCATTTTCATCAGTCTCTGATTTCCTTTCACTTGCCCCTTGCTGCAGTGGGGCACAAAGCTGGCACCCCACTGCCTTCCAGCTGTGCTCCTGGTGAAGAGGGCTGGCAACACATGGATTCTATCACCCTGCAGCTCCTGGCATCCCACCACTTCTCAATACCCAACAGTTGCCAGGTCTGTTTGCTCCCCTCTTTTCAGATCCCTGATGGCAGAGGCCCTTGTGCACATGGGCCCATGAGCATCTTCTGCCCCAAAGAACACACTAGTGCTTGTTACAACTATGAACTCTCCTGCCATGACACCCAGCCACATCATTGGGAGCAACCACCACCCCTGAGCTCCTGGAAGCCACTGAGGTTTGTTGAATTTTTCTTCTGAAACATGCTGATCACACATCAGCAGAACTGATGATTGAGCATCCACTGAATAATCCCAGGCCATGGCACAGAAGTGATCTGCCCCACACTCTTGTCTGAGTTGCTGATGGAACAGCTTTCAATTCAGCTCCCTGAACAAAGGCAAAGCATTGCAAATAAAGCCACAAGAACACAACCCTGGCTCACAGACTAACGAATGCACAGCATTTCCAAAGGCACTTTCTGTGACAGCCTTTGCCTCAACAGATTTCCTGCTATTTCATAATGATGACAACCAATAATATCAAGGCTGGTATTCCCTGGTATCCTGAAAACAGACAGTGGAAGAGAACAAAACAACCCTGGTTAACCCTCTGCATGACTTTCCAACATGGACATTCACAGATCAACAGGCAAATTCAACTTACTTCAATCTTCCTCATAACCAGCAGCCCATCCACAATTTTACCTAGAAGGAGAAAATGAATCTTCTTCAATAGGGTTGGTTTCCACTTTCCTCCCCCCCACTCATCACAGGAACACTCATTTTTGTTCCTCCTGAAAAGCCTCCTGCAGTGTAGAGCTCCTGGGCACTTGTTCCTGATCTCTACAGTGATACAAGAAGCAATGAATTCTGAAAGCACTTTCCCCACTCAGAACAGGAGGTGCATCTTCCCATGGCAGGGGTGACATGTGAGCTTCTGAGACCCACCACCTGTGCTAAAATACAGCATGAACTATCTACTAGCACACCTTTGTCATGATGCTAGAAGGTCAAAGGACACCAGTATTACCCAAAAATCAGAGGTAGGAAGTAGAACACCAGCTTAATGGCCAGCAGGGGAGGAGAAAGGGACCTGGGGGTCCTGGTGGGCAGGAGGACCATGACCTGCAATGTGCCCTTGTGGCCAAGAAGGCCAATGGCCTCTGGGGTGGGTTAGAAAGGGGGTGGTTAGTAGGGCAAGGGAGGTTCTCCTGCCCCTCTGTTCTGCCCTGGTGAGGCCACATCTGGAATGTTGTGCCCAGTTCTGGGCCCCTCAGTTCCAGAAGGACAGGGAACTGCTGGGAAGAGCCCAGGGCAGAGGCACAGAGATGCTGGAGGGAGGGGAACATCTCCCTGCTGAGGAAAGGCTGAGGGAGCTGGGGCTGTTGGGCTTGGAGAAGAGGAGACTGAGGGGCCACCTCATCCATGGGCACAAATCTGTTCAGGGCAGTGTCAGGAGGACAGAGCCAGGCTTTGTGCAGTGATGTCCAGTGACAGGACAAGGGGCAGTGGGTGCAAACTGGAGCCCAGGAGGTTCCCTGTGAATCTCAGGAAGAACTTCTTTGGTGTGAGAGTGCCAGAGCCCTGGGCCAGGCTGCCCAGAGAGGCTGTGGAGTCTCCTTCTCTGGAGACATTCCAACCCCCCTGGCCACGTTCCTGTGTGATGTGCTCTGGGTGCCCCTGCTCTGGCAGGGGGGCTGGGCTGGGGGAGCTTTCCAGGTCCCTTCCAACCCCTGGGATTCTGTGAATCCCCCTGAGCTGGCAGGCCAGCCTCTGCTGCAGGTACTCACCAAACACAACATGTTTTCCATCCAACCAGTCACACTTGGAGCACGTGATGAAGAACTGGCAGCCGTTGGTGCTGGGGCCGCTGTTTGCCTGGGGTTGAGATTGGCCAAACAGAAATGGTACCAGTGAGGACTTCCCAGTACAGATGCAGATCACACAGGGAAGAGCTGCTTCACCTAGCCTGGCTTATTGTCAGCTTATTGCTCCACAAACCCAAAGAAGCAAGATCCACACAAGAGCCCTCTGTGCCACTTAGTCTGGCCATGCCAGTCTGTGCTGGAGCTGCAGCCCCAGCTGCTGGTTACACACCCGTGAAGCACCAGACTGAGCTGGGATCTGGGCTCTAGCTCCTGAAAATCAGGATCACATTTTCAGTGAGGAGTCCTGACTGGTGGTTTTGTCCAGGGGAAACCTGCTAGTCAGGAACCAGGACAGAAAAAAAAAGCAGCTGGTTGTTGCAGTTTAGGCCCAGCTGGTAACAACCAGGCTGACTTACCACTCCCTCCTGCTGTGGGACAGGGAGAAGAAAGTCCAACTAAAAGCTTGTGAATCAAGACAAGGACAGGGACCCCCTCCCCCACTACCAACCCAAAACACTGATTTCTGCTCTTTGGAAAGTTATAAAGAATGTATATTCAAATTAATATAGAATAATAGAGCATGAAATAATATAGAATTAAAAGAAAGGTTTCTGTTCTGATGAGCAGGTTAATAAGGTAAATCACATGGGTACAGGGTTCACAGGAGCAGTGTCATGCAGAATTAAAATTTAATTCACACATCTCTGCAACACTTTGAGCTCTTGTGACAACCAGGAGGTACTAGATCATGTTTCTGGGCTGACAAGTGACCTGGGCAAGTGTTGCAGCTGCAGAACTGCAGGGGAAAAGGTCATGTTGGAGCTTTTCCTCATTGCTTCATTCCTCATTCCTTCCAGCTTGGAAGGATCCAGCTGGGATGGACCATGGTTTGACCCAGCAGGATGACTCCAGAGCCAGGCCACTTTGACATAATGTTGGTAAGAGCAGAGTGGGATCCCTTCTCCCACACTACAGGACACAGATTGCTTAGCTGTGACCCGACATCTCTTTTGGGGCCACATTTTGAAGAACTACTCCAAATGACAAATGCCCCAAGCAAGTGGCTTCAAGGGCAGGGCAGCTGAACAGAGCTGGTGAAGAAGCAGCTGTGGACAGGAACCCTGAAGCATTGACTCCACTTGCATTCTGTTGCAAAAGTCAGTGTATTGTCCCTGCCAGACAACCTGCAATGGTTGCAGTTTTTCCTACAACGTTGAACAGGAAGTTGCTATAAAAGATACCATGGTGATGCTGCTATGGCTTTGAAACTCCCAAATCTCTTTGTCTCATCCTTGCTGAGGTCAGTGTTTGGTAACAGGATTGGGGAAGAAAGGCCATCACCACTTGCTACTGCCCCAAACTGTTAAGAATCAAGCTGTTCTGAAAGCTGATCAAACACCAGCACTCCAAACAGCTGCAAAAGTGCTGAAGGATCAGGACTTGAGTGTTACTCAACAGATTAACCCATGAGGAGCCAACTAGTAGTTGCACACAAGGTCTTTCAGACCTTGTATCCAATGGTGGAGATTTCTGTTGTCTGGCAAATCATTTATACACTAAGGAAAAAGGGAAAGAGAAAGTACCACGAGTTTTTTAGTCCTGTAATGTCACTATTTATACTCACCATAGAGAGCAGCCCAGGAGCAGAGTGTTTCAGCTTGAAGTTTTCATCTGCAAAAGGGCCCCTGTATATACTGGCTACTCCTGTGCCATCCCCCTGTGAGAGAGGTGCCCAGTCAGCTCAGCACTTGTTCTGCAGCAGCTGCAGAACAATCCCTGAGCAAAAGGAGAGGGTTAAAGCCCAAAACAGATGCTGTGCTGCCATTTCTATAGAGCAGCAGTGACCACGTTCAACGGTTCATTTCTGAAGAGGAGCAGTGCCTGGTTTCTAATCATTTGCCACCCAAATGGTGACAGAGCCCAGAGCTGGGAAGGATCAAGTCCATGTCTCCCCAGGTGAGATGGGAGGCTGCAGGTTGCCTGGTACAGACCCAGGACTTGGCAGGGAAAATGGAGGGGTTCTGCAAGTGTGGACTGCAGACATGGCTGTGTGGAAAGAGGCAGCTGATGGCATGTTTCCTTATTTCACCTGATTTCCTGTGAAAATGTGGGCCAGAAACAGGCAGGTGAGCCTGTTCGGCAAGGCCAGCTTCTAAAAGACAGAGTTTCTAATTTCTGTTGTACTTTCCCAAGTCAAAACATCTTGTACTTTACAAGCCCTAGCACTCAGGTCTCAAGATGCTTGTGAATTCAAGCAGCATGACCCACCACAGCTGCAGATTCCAGCTCTGACTGCTCCCAAGCCTCCAGCTTTGCAGAAGCCTGATCCATGCTCCACACCAGGCATGAAGCCTGTGGACCTGCTGCAAGGCCACCCTGCCCTTTGGTCCAGCACTGCAGACACTCCTGGGTGATGCCAGAAGGACCAGGCAGGGACTCTTCCATAGAATGGCCTTGCAGATGCTGCAGTGAGGAACCCTGCAGGGAAAGCTAGAGGAGAAATGCCAACAGGTCTGTCTGCTACAGTCAGCTCAGTGCACTGTTCTGGCAGTAACCTCCCCTTCTGTGTTGATTTCTGTGTTGCTTCAGACCCATTTCTTCTGCCTTGCTGCAACTTGGCTCCTTTCATTGCCTTTCTGCTTTGCATTTAGGCTCCTTACTAGGTCAACAGGAAAATAAGGTGCCAGTAAGAAACCATATGCAGTTCCACATCCTTTGCTCTGCTGGCCTTGCCCTTGCTTCTTCTCCTCCTGTTCTCTGGGGTTTACTTCAGCTGTTGGCTCTGAGGTGGGAACATACCCCCCACCTCAGTGGTCAGTGGGACTATTCTTGGTCCACAAGTGGCTTTGTAATAAGTGTAATTTATCAATTACAAATTCTGGTGCAATCTGTAATGCTTTCTGAACTTCAGTGGAAGTAACACAGTCCACTGGGACATTTGAGCAGCATCACACTTAGTCACTACCTAAAAGCCTGTTGTGGCTGAGCCACCTGCTGGGCAACCAGTGTTCTCAGTTACTTGCATGCAACCCAATTTTATCATATTGTTTAGTAAAAAAAAAGCTTCATTGCTCCCCTCAGACTCAGACACACTTCCAGAAATGAAATTATTTTACTGGGTCCTAGGACAGTGAAGAGACTCTCTGATCATCCAGCCTTTCCTCCAGACTCTGCTTAGCCCCAGGTGTGTGTCAGCACAACCAACACCACCAGCACAAAGTCTTCTCTATTCTCACACTAACAAGAAGTTACTTTTGATTTAAACCCTCTCTTGCACTGTACTTAGGCTCTCTTGCCACAAAGCTCATAAAAATTCACAGGGTTTCTTGTCTGGGGGGACAGAAGGAGGAAAGAAAACAGTGGGGAAAAATCTTTGCAAGTTGGAAAAGCCTCTAATTGTGCTGCCAGGAAATGCTTTGGGAAGAAGAAGGTATATCCACCAGACTCTGGATTTGTTTTCAAGGCCCTTCAAGTCTGTCACAGCTAGAGGTGGCAGCAATGCCATGAGGAAACCTCCAGTTACTCCCAGGTTCCTCCAAAAACAGCCCATTGTCCCCAGGGATCTGAACTGGAAACATTATTATACCCCATAGGAAAAGAACAAAAGGAATATAGAAGGTACATACATTGACAAAGTCACCTCCTTGGATCATGAAATCCTTTATTACCCTGAAAAAGTAAAACAACAGTTCTCAGGAGACAAATGCCTCATATGTGGTAAGAAAGAAAATCTGCCTGACAGCACCACAACAGTTCCCTGGGTCTAGGAATGCTACAGCCAAACATCTCCCACATCTACTCACAGCTGAATTGCTCTGAGGTCACTGCTGGTTGACCCATGAGGTGAGAGATGCCAGAAAATCACCTCTGACCTGGCACACCAGGAATAGGGGATCCCAGCAGACACATCAAACAGCACCCCCAAACCCCCCAGAGCTACAGAGTATCAGCCACAGCCTGCAAATGCCTCCCAGACCAAGAATGCCTTGCAGATCTCAACACCACCTCTCCCTCAGGCTGCTGCTGCAGTGCTTACACAAAAGCAAATGAATTACCTGTGGAAAGTGCTCCCTTTGTAACCTATAGGGACACCATCTTTCCTACAAGGAAATAAAAAGGAAAATCATTGCAACCTACTGGACAGCCCAACACAAAACCCTCCCAGGAATTCAGAGTCCCAGAAGGCTGCCCCACACCTCAGCAGCTGCCTGGCCTTACAACCAGGCTCTTGGCTGCTGCTCTGCACAGGCAGTGCCACCCCTTCCCACCACATCCATCCCATCACCTTAAGGGGATCCCACTGGAACCTGCAGCAAGAGCAGGTGGCATCTGAAGGAGGGGTGTTTTAGAGCAACCTGAGCACAACACAGTTGTGCCCAAAAGGGAAAGTTGTGTCCCCTCCATGACCAACTGAGCCTGGCACCACTGTCAGAGCAGACTTCTCCAGCTCATTTTGAACAAAAGAACACCTCCCAGTGAGCCTTGTTCCTACTTACCCAGCCCTGTTGCTCTGAGTGGGCTACTTCAAAGGGCACTGTCAGACTCTACATGCACTTACCTGAACTCCCCCGTACAGAACTGCCTGGAAAACAAAGCAGAGCAGAACCTGAGCCACCTCTGAGCCCCTAGGACACCTGGGGCTGCACCCAGGAAACCCAGCACTGCTGGGCTGGACTTGCCTTCCCACCCAGGGGGTGGGAACTGGAAGGGACTCCTCCTCACTCCTCTTTCTAAACAGACCTCTGCACTTTCTTGCAGCTGAGGAGCTCAGATACTCAACAACTGAACGTGGAGCCGTTGGAAAGAGAACGGGGTGTATTTAGTTCAGCTGGGGGGGGCCAGGGAGGGGCAGCAGCTCTGGGGGACAAGGGCTCACACTGCCCCCAGAAACATCCCTACACCCTGGAGCTCTGGCAGCCCGAGGCTCAGCTGCAGGGACATCCCCCTGCTCCTCACCTGAAGTTCTCAGCTGTTTTGGGCACCACGTCCGCGAACAGCTCGATCTTCATGCGCCCGACCTCCTGTGGGACAGGGGCAGCTCAGCCCAGCCCAGCCCAGCCCAGCC